GGCCCGGGGGTCGAAAGCAGCTTTCCAGGCCTCTTTGTCTGGAACTTTCCTCTGGCCACACCCCTCACTAGTCTTGCTCTAAGCCAGTTATAGGGAAGCTGTGGCCCCTCACAGCCTCTTGGACTCCAACTCCCATCAGCCCCAGCAAGCAAGGCCAATGGGCAGGGATGCTGGGAGATGAAGTCCCACTCCTGCTGTGAGCTCTCCTCAAACGTGTCTTGGTGGGAATGTGCCTTTGAACTGCCTTCTGCTTGCCTGGATGGAGAGAAGCGTACATGGGCAGAAAGCTCTGTATCTGTGGGGCTGGAATGTGCAATGGCAAGAGCCCATCCCCCCCTTTGGGTCCCCATCCCTGCTTTGGAAGACTGAAATGTGGCTTGGTTGTTTTATAACTCGGCTCCCAATCTGTGTTCCCCCACCAGCACCATCTGCAGCCAAGTTAAGACAGCTTAATCGCATCGCATGCAGCAAGATGAAAAGATATTCATAACAAAAATGCCAGGGTGCAAGTCCTTACTTTTACTTCCACCATCTTTCCGCCGTGTTCAATGTGCCTCTCGAGGTATTCTGAAGACAGCAGATCACTGAAAAGAGAGGCAAGGAGTGCTCCATTATACGACATTTCCTCAGCATGTAAACACCGGCGTTTAAAAAGCAAATACTTTTTTCTCAAATGTTCCTACACACACACACTAAAAACGCTTGACAGTTAGCTCCAGCAAAGCTACATTCAAAATGTGTTGTTTTTCATAAAAGTAGCTATGCTGAAAAGGGGTTAAAAACCAGTGACCTAAGAGATGAAGATAGCAGACAACCCAAACCCCAAATGGATGTATCAAACCTAAAAAAAATAAAAATAAAAAATACAGTAAAACAAACACTACAAAACAATGACTCGTTTCTTTTCTAACTCAAGCATTTCAGTGTTTCTATGTATAACTATATAATAATATGAGCCTCTAAGTTTCAGGTACACTCCCATTATTTTTGTCATTGCTGTAACAATTACAATTCTTTCCGATAAAAACATACTAATTTTAGCAAGTAAGTATAGAAAGCAAGATGGCTCCAATGGATTTTCACCTTACTTAAAGCAGTAGTTAAATATCATTTTTCATAGGGAGATTGAGCATTTCATGTGGCAGTGTGGGAGAAATCAATGAACTATTTGTTCACACTGTTTATTTGTTTTAAGAGCTATGAAATAAGGAGCTGTTTCTGACAAGTCCGCACATTTTGAAGTGATCTTTCTATTTGTCCCGAGGAAAGCTTCTGCTTATAGAATTCTCAGTTATACATACAGAAAAGGTAGCAACAAGTGCAGATATCTGATAAATTCCAGAGCAAGGGCAACTAATTCTGTAGCATCAGTAACCAGCTCCATGCTACGCAGTGCTATCCTTCCATTCTACCTGCCGCTGAGCTGCTAAATTGAAAGTTTGGTGGTACTAATATGAACACAATGTATATAGCCCAAAAAACTGTTTGGCCACTGTCGTTTTAGCATGTAATAAACATTGCAAGATCCAACGATTTAATGTTAAGAGGGGGTGAAAACACTAGTGTAAATGCAAAGCTTCCCTTTACCAACTTTTTAATTAGAGAAAAGGTGGGGAACCTTAGGTCAAGAGGCCAAATGAGTCCACATAGAGTTGGAAGGGACCCCAAGCGCCATCTCATCCAATGCCCAGCAATGCAGGAATCTCAACTACAGCATCCATGACAGATGGCTACCCAATCTCTGCTTAAAAACCTCCAAGGAAAGAGAGCCCACAACCTCCCAAGGGAGTCCGTTTCACTGTCAAACAGCTCTTACTGTCAGAAAATTCTTCCTGATGTTCAGTCGGAATCTCCTTTCATGTAGCTTGAAGTGACCAGTTCAGGTCCTAGCCTACAGAGCAGGAGAAAACAAACTTGCTCCAATACTCCATCTTCCATATGACAGCCCTTGAGATATTTGAAGATGCCTATCATATCTCCTCTCAGTCTCCTCTTTACCAGCCAAACATGTCCAACTCTCTCAACCACTGATCACTTGGTTTCCGGACCCTTGATCAACTTGGTTGCCCTCCTCTGCACATGTTCCAGCTAGTCAACATTCCTATTAAACTATGGCACCCAGAAATGGACACAGTACTCCAGATGTGGTCTGACCAAGGCAGCACTATTAATTCCCTTGATCCACCAGAAACTACACTTCTGTTGATGAAGCCTAGGATAGCATTAGCTTTTCTGCTGCTGCATCATACAGTTGACTCATGACACAATTCTCATTTAGAAAACCCACCAGGAAAGCCAACTTCTATCTACAAGAAGTCATGTTCAGAGACATATCCAACACATACATTTAAAAAGCAAAACAAAATTTGACCACACCCTAAGGAAGAGAAATTTATCATTCAAAAGTCTGGTGGCATAAAAAAAGGGTTTTGCCTGGCACCAGAATGCATTTATACCTTGCTTGAGCATCAGGAATATATTTGAGGGCTAGCTATAACTAGTTTTGCCAATTTCTGGCTGTGTTGATGAAAACCAAACAACAGAACAGGCTTGCATTCCATACAAATTTAAAGCTGTAATCCTGTACACACTTTCTTAGGAGCAGGCCCCCACTGAATTTAGGAAGACTTACACACCTCAGGAGGCATGCATAGGATTGTCCTGCAAATGCTTTATTTTAGTGCCGCTGACGGCTTGTTTACTGATACAAAACAGAGAGTGCAGAACTCCCACCTCACTTGGAAACCATCCTCTTAACGTTGCTGAGAGTAAAGAAGAATTTTATGAATCAAATAAAAGTATTTCTAGAACACGTTGCCAAAGTTTTATGGCTCTTCTTTGCAAACACCACCACATCATACCAAACTGGGGTGGGAACTGATTTGTGGGGAAGGGCCGTAGCTCAGTGCTGGAGCACATGTTTTGAATACGGAAAGCTCCATGCTCAGTTCCTGGCACCTCCTGCTAGGTCTGGGAAATATTCCTGCATGAAAGCCTGGAGAACGGCTGCCCATTGGATATAGACAATACTAAGCTAGATGGGCCAATAGTCTGAAATCAGTATAAAAGCAGCTTTCTGTGTTCAATAGGAGCATTATTTGTTTTTAACAAGATGCAGGCTAATGTTTCCCAGCGTGGAACGACAAAAGCCCAGTTTTTAATAAATACTGCAAACATCTTGCAAAGATTTATGGGAGACCTAACAAAAATGCAAGCCACTAACATAAGGCAAACAGCAGTAGGAGTTTTAATGTGGCAAAACCGAATCGTATGCCACACATGCCATTTTTGCTATACTTAAAGGGCATAGCCTTTTGTTACAAGGAAATAATTGGCTTTTATTAACCTTCACGGCGCAAACAAAAAATCTAAGCAAATGCACAAGAATTGGCACTTGCCCTTGTGGCATAAAAGCACAGATTTGCTTTTGCAACGAAATAATTTGCATTTGAACGGTGACAAATAGCATGCTTCTTTTATGTCCCTTGAAATCGGAATAGTGTTGCTTGACAGCAGGACTACCCTGAAATCCTGCTAGCTTGAAAGTGGTGGTAGGGAAGGAGGAGGCAACATATATATTAAGGTGCAACAGCTCTAAACCAACTTTAGGCTCACAGGCAGACATTTTTGGTTAAAACAAGAATAGCGTAAAAGGAATCAATGCAGAACAGCCAGGTAGTCCGATTTCTTGGAAATCTAGAACAATCCTGATGGGGATAGCTTTTCTGGGTGTGTCATGAAAACGGGACGGGGAGGGTGTCATTTGGACCCTACTGATTCAAGGATGCCCTAACGCACCCTGTTGTGGCATTTGCCTGTTCGTTTAGAGCCTGTCTGTACAGGGGGGAAAGAAAAGGTTAAAATGTAGACCAATCGGAAAGCTGGAGGCGGAGCCTACATGTGTATAAAAAGGCTTAGCCCGAGGTTTGTTAGAGTTGTTGGTGGGTAGTTGGTTGGTTTTAGTGGGTTGGCTGGTTGGGAAAGGCAGTGGGAGAAGCAGTTGTCAGGCAGTTGGAAATAGAGAGACAGTTAGGGCAGTGGGTTCTTGAGTGAGGGGAGGTGGAAGAGATAAAGGTAAAGGGACCCCTGACCATTAGGTCCAGTCGTGACTGATTCTGGGGTTGCGGAACTCATCTCGCTTTATTGGCCAAGGGAGCTGGCGTACAGCTTCCGGGTCATGTGGCCGGCATGACTAAGCCACTTCTGGCAAACCAGAGAAGCGCACGGAAACGCCGTTTACCTTCCCGCTGGAGCGGTACCTATTTATTTACTTGCACTTTTTGGCGTGCTTTCAAACTGCTAGGTTGGCAGGAGCAGGGACCGAGCAATGGGAGCTCACCACGTCGTGGGGATTCGAACCACCAACCTTCTGATCAGCAAGTCCTAGGCTCTGTGGTTTAACCCACAGCGCCACCCACGTTCCTGGTGGAAGAGATAGAGAGAGGGAAATAAGACTAAGAAAGTAAAGAGTAACAACGTTTGGAATGCCATAAAAGTTTGTTTGTGTCAGAAATAAAATACACTTTTCTCTATTAATTTGAGAACCTGACTGAGACTGAAGGATCTGGTTGGTGGCAGTGGATTAGTGGTGTATGGGTCAATACTCCGTGAGACGATCGGGGGCTCTGTGCGAACGCCACACCCGTTTCGAGTCCTACTGATCCCAAAACACCACCAGCGGTGTCTGCATACATCTATGCAAGCAGGGTGTTCCACCAGTGTACCAGGAGTTCCTCTACAGCAAAAGAGGATGTCCCTGCCAATGGCACTCATCTTCAGAAAAGCAGCATTCATGCTGACTCTTACGCCTCCTCAGCCAGACTCCAGATGAAGATATGATGGCTCTGTTAAGCACATTAAATATTGATGAAATTGTATGATAGTGAAATTTAGAAATAAGTACTTAGTCCGTTATCAGCCATCCCAGGGACTTTGCACTCCTTGGCCAGAACACTGGAAGGCAGGATAGGGTTCAATTCTTACCAAGCAATCAGGGGTAAAGAGCTGTAGCTCAGTGGCACAGCACATGCTTCTCGTGCAGGAGGCCCCAGATTCAATCCCTGGCATCTTCAGGTAGCCATGGGAAAGAATTGTGGCTGAAACCCTGGAAAGCTGCTGGCAGCCAGGGTTGAAGATTCTGAACTAGAATGGTCTGGCTCAGTACAGTGGTACCTTGGTACTCGAACGGCTTGGCTCCTGAATGCCACAAACCCAGAAGTGAGTGTTCTGGTTTGTGAACATTTTTCGGAAGCCGAACATCCGACGTGGCTTCTGATTGAGTGCAGGAAGCTCCTGCAGCCAATCGGAAGCCGCGCCTTGGTTTTCGAATGGTTTCAGGAGTCAAACAGACTCCCGGAACAGATTAAGTTTGAGAACCAAGGCACCACTATATACATCAGGAGCAGGTGTCAGGAGCAGATGAGCAAAACTCACATGTTGTCAGTGAAGTTAATTCTTTATTCAAGGAAACAAAGACAGCTCAGGAGGCCAGGCCAAGAGAACACAGAAACTCTTCCCGGTGGAACTTGCAGTTGCGAGGACTGAAGTTACCCGCCTTCCCACAGCTTCCTAAGTCTCCTCCTCCCCCAGTTCCTCCCCAAGCAACCTGAGGCTCTGTTGCCCTGCCTGTCTTTGTTCCTCTCTCTTCATACGTCTCTGGATTATGTGACGGAAGCCAGGTAGCTCAGAATCTTCAAGATACATATTGCAATGGTTGACAGAAGAGTAAAATCATGAGCACCACTATAAAATGCCCATTCAAGGGACGTAAAAAAGTTATACAAGAAAGCTACAACTAATCTTCTACTTCAGCTGGCAAACAGTTGTTGCTGTTTAGTCGTGTCCGACTCTTCATGACCCCATGGACCAGAGTACGCCTGGCAAACAGTAGACCTCTTAATTGCTTAATCACAGACTTGGGAGAGAAGAAACTGAGCCAATCCTAATTATCCAACCGCAGACTCCAGAACATGACCACGGCATCTTGAGTAAACCACCATCAATCATTTATGTACAACAAACACGCTATATTAGAATTCAGCATGCACAACAACTAAGGCTAATGGCAGCATCTATTGCAGAACTACAAACATTTACACTAAAAATCCAGGCACAATGCAACTTTAGATTAGAAAACACGTTATCCTTTCGGTTCAGAAATTCTGGTGCCACATTGTTTATAGTGTATCAACACAGCAGCAACAAGGGAAAGGAACCTATGGTTCTCCAGCTGTTGGACTACAACCTCCATCATCCCTTGGCCATTTTGGCTGGGGCTGATGGGAGCTGGAATGCAACAAAATTGGGGGTTGGGGCACAGCTTCCCTATCCTTACCCTACAGCCTCCATTTTGATATCTGGGAAAAGATGCATGCACAACAGCATCGCCCCACCCCCAGGAGATGCCACATAAAAGTTAACAAAATTCTAGGAACAGCCATGGTTCAACTCCAGACCTGGCGGCAGAATTAAAGAGTTCCCTTTAAAAGGAAACTCACTTCCTCCACAATGTTAATCAAACTCATATAACCACATTGTTTCATGGCTCTCTGCATCCTGCCCCAACACCAATTTGGCAAAAAGGGCAGCTGCAGCTTTGCTTTTGGGGAATCTAATCTGCCATCCTGCCTTGGAAATGAACATGTCTAGGAAGACGCAAGAAGCACCAGCAACAAAATATTGCAGGGTATCCTACATTCTGTGGTACCGAGCATGCTGAGTCTTCAGTGGGTTGTTTGGGGGAACTTTAGCCCCCTTAGTTTTTAAAAGCGGGGTATTTTTTGTCCCCCAAACATGTTCCCCCTTTTTTCTCACTGGCCCTGTTTCTGGCTATACTGGTAGCACTCACCATGACTTCACTTTTGGAAGGAGTTTGTGTCAGTCCTTTGCACACCACATCTTTGGTGAATCAGTTTGTGAAGGATGACTATGAAATAGAGGAACTGCTGACGAGACATGGCTTCTGCTGTGTTACTCAGTACAATTCCAGTCTCTTCCCAGAAGTGGGTCTGCTGGCAAGTGGAGGGTATTGTGACATTACTGGGGCTGGATTTTCTCTCCTTCATTCCTCTTGCAGTAGATCCATTTACAGGAAAGGCCTAGAACCTACTGTGCAAGCTAGAATCCTTCACCAACAGTCAGCTGACCTACAAACAAGACTATTTGTTCCTAAGTAATTCCATTTATGCTCTTTCTTTCTGCAAACATAGCAGAAAGGGAATTTACTGGAACAAGGAGGAGGGATTTTTAAAGTACTTGTTCTTCCTTGTAGAAAGACGTTGGCTGGTACATGCACTCTCATGCTTCACTATGTGTTTTGTTTTATTTTACGTATCTTTAGGTGCCAGGTGAAAACATTTTCTTTCAACCAGGCATTTGGCTTTTAAAACGTGTTCGTGGGAGTGTGGTTATTGATTTGTTTTATTATGTATTCTGTGTTCTCATTTTGAATTTTTATGTTGTGAGCCTGTGATCTTTGGGTGATGGGGAGCATACAGCTCATGGAAACACCCAGGGCCATTTACTCCAACCTCCTGCAATGCAGGAATCTCAACTAAAGCATCCATGACAGATGGCCATCCAACCTCTGCTTAAAAACTTCCAATGAAGAAGAGTCCACAGCCTCCCAAGGGAGTCCATTCCACTGTCAAACAGCTCTTACTGTCAGAAAGTTATTTCTGATGTTTCGTTGGATTCTCCTTTCTTGTAACTTGAACCCACTGGTTCGGCCCCACCCTCTGTACCAGCAGAAAATAAGCTTCCATGTGACAGCCCTTTAGATATCTGAAGATGGCTATCTTCTCTCCATCTCCTTCTCCTCTTTTCCAGGCTAAACACACCCAGCTTATTTATTATTTAATAAATAATAAGAAATAATAATGGACACAATTAATTGAAATTTTAAAAAATAACAATCTTATAACCTGTGACTTAAGATAGTCAGGCAGACGAAAAAATCTTCTTGGCAGTAGCTCTTCAGAGTTTTGCATGGGGGTCTTCCCCAGTCCTACCTAGAGAAGTTGAGGATTTAACTGGTGACCCTTTGCATGCAATCCATCTGCTCTAAGCACTGAGTTACCCCAAAACCTACTAAGGCTGCAGTCCTAAAGCACATTTATCATAGGGCAGGTCCTAATGAACCCAGTGGGACTTATTTCTGAGTAAACACACTGAAGGGTTGCACTGCAAACCAGCATTTCCCACCACTGTAAGTGGTATTTCTGCCATTCCCACCGCCATTCACGACTTTTAGGTCCTCAGCCATTTCAGTGAGATTTTGCAATGCATCCTCCGTTCGACATCCTTGTGGAATCTCCCTCAACACTACTAAATTATTGATAGTTTAAAAGAAGGAAAAAACCCTGTTCTGATGCACTATGTGCTATTTATAACCAGGGGAGGAGGGGGGGGGAATCAAACTACACAAGGATGCAGCAGCTCTGTGCTGCTTTTCAGCTGTCAAGCACAATGTATGCAGTTGCCAATTTTAGAGCTAACCAAAGAATGGATTTTTTATTTATGAGAATGTAATGGGGATCTGATAATTGTAACGATTAAAGGGGGAAATGAAATCAAAAACAAAAACAAATCTTTAGCAGTGCCCATTTAAAAAAATTACTATGTAACACTACGCCTATCTAATTTGGTGTAAACTCCCCAAACCCCAATAAATGTGTATATATTGCGATTTTTTAAAAAACAACAACAACCCTAAATGTGGTGGAAATCTGCATCCAGAATAAAATGCCTAGTTATTTTAGTGCATCAGATTAGTCACATGAATAAAACAAATTTATGTTAGCAAACGAAGTAAGATTCAATCCTCAGCATACATCAACACAAAAAGTACATCAAAACAAACCTTTTCCACCATATGCTAGCTGCATCTCAAGTCACAGCTACATACCTGTCAATTAATCCTGCCGTGAAATGTTCATTCAAGGACAAACACATCACCTAGGTGCCATCTAAAATGGATGAACAGTTGCATTATTTCCCTAGCCCAGGGATAGGGAAATCTATGGTCCTCTAGATGCTGTTGGACTCCAACCTCCATCATCCCTGAACACTGGCCATGCTGCCTGGGCTGATGTGAGTTGGAAACCAACAATATCTGGACAGCCACAGGTTGCCCATCCCATCACTAGCCAAACATAAAATCAGACATAGAATCAAAGAATTGTAGAGTCTATGCATGTGTGAACACTCTATCCAGCCACCAGGCCATGCTCCTGAAGGCACAGCCCTCACCAGCCCTGCCTGGCTGGAATGTGTCCTCAAACTGCGATGTCTCTTGCTTGCCTGGAAATGCCTGTGTATACAGAAAATTATGACTTCTGCTTGGCTGGAACCTAGCCTATTGTACAAAGCCACATTCACTGTTCTGCCAACTTTTGCCTCTGGCCCTTTTTACTGGGTCCACCACCACTGCCACACAGCTCCCACTAAGCTAACCATGAAGGAATATGGCCCTCTAGCTGAAAAAAAAGACTCTTCAGAACTCTTCTACTGCAATGGTAATCCAGCAGGCACTAGAAATTGAATGGCTCAAAAGAGCTTGTTTATTATTTACACTACCAGTTCCCACTATTTCAAAAGTGTGAAGGTGGCTAGGACTCAGACACAGAGTTCCTCAAGATAAAAAGACTGAGATATGATGGGGGAAGAATATTGTTCTAGATTGGGGGTGGCTAAAAGCTAGAAATTAATAAATGGTAGGATTTTGGTTATTTGGACTTTTGAAGATTGGAGGCCAGTGGAAAAGTAAAGGCTAAGCTTTCTTTCCAAGACAGGGCCTCACTTAGGATAGAGGCATTAACATGACAAAAGAGGATGATTGCTCATCTGAGAGCCTGGGAAAGAGAGACATGAAAAGAGAGTCTTTAGCAAGGTGTGCTAGGAAGAAGAAAGGAGAGGAAGAGACTGTGATCCATCTTCAGCAGGCTGGCTGAAGGCTGGCTGGGAGAGATGCCTTGGACTCCAGGGCTGCACTGCTGTGGGGGGCATGAACCTCTTGAAAGGACCATGCAGTAAGTTCCGGACTCCCTCCATGAAAACCGAAGGTGTAAATATG